TCATCAGGGTGGGGGTTTGAATGCAGGGAGCTCAGTGGGGGGTGTTCTGGGGTGCGGGGATGGGGGTCCGGAAGCAGGGAGTCTGGGTGCAAGGGAGCTCCAGATGCAGGGGTTGAGGTTCAGTGGGGTAGGGTTCAGATATGGATTGTTAGGAGGGTTCTGGGTGTATGGGGTGAGGCCTGGCAAACTCTTTCTAGTATAGACAAGACCCCAGTCCTGGGTCTTTCCTGAGCACAATAATAATAATAATAATAATAATAATAACGTCAAACTGAGTGGTGGTGGTGATGTTGTAATGTAGTTCCCAGCAACTAATCAGAAAACACATTTCATTTAGGACTTTTCAACATTTTTTACTTCATTGAAATGAAAAATTTTGACTTTCTTGAAATTATATGGTCAAAATAATTTTTTTAAATATTCTTTTCTGCAGGAAATTCTGAATTTGGAAGAAAAGCCAATTTCAGAATTGCAGCATTTGCCATGAAATGGAAAAACCAGATTTCACTCAGTTCTCTAGTAATGGCAAAGAACATTGAAGCTCAGGTTCCACGTTTCTTGCTGTCAAAATTCCCTCTCCTGTATCCTTCTTCCCCTCTTTCCACTCTTCCCCAACAGTGTCGTAATTCTTTTAAAAGAATGGCAAAGGATATGTGGGGCGGAAGAGCGGGGAGACGCTTTTGATGGCTTCACAAGTTGCTTGACTATAACAGTTAAAATGAGATGTTTTGACTTTATCTAAATGAAGCATTTTGATTGTTTCAAAATAAAATTTGGGCAAAATCAACATGTTTCATCTGAAAATTTGACCGGCTCTATTCATTACCAATGTTGAAAGTGCCATGAAGTGGTAGCCTACACACACAGGAGTGGAAAGAAGGTTGTGCCTCCACCTTTTCACTAACAAAACTAGAAAGATAAAATGAATGACAGCAAGTCACTGAGGGACAAATCCTGCTCTTCTCTTCAGCAGGTAGGGAAGGTCCCAAAGTAGTGGAACAATTATGGTTCCATTGTGTCAGAAGGACTCAAGATTTGGAGGCTACACATAGTGGTAATTCGCAGCCCAGGTACACTATGGACCCCTGTGTATCTGTATACAGAAAGGTCAGCAGTAAGGCAGGTGTAGGGCTGGAGGATCAGCAGATACCCAGATCCTATTTTCCTCCTACGCTGCAGTAGACTGCAGTAAAAGATTCTTCCCATTTTTCCCCAGTGAATCTCCCCAGCCAAAATACTCAGGGAAGGTGCTGGGATGTGCAGTTGCCCGACTGCAGATATCAAACAAATGTAACAGCTTTTAGTACAATTGCTTCTAAAATCTCAATTTCTATTAAACAAAAGAATATTATATGATAAAAATAAAGTGATTTTATAACCTGCAGCATAAATTACATAGAAGATCAGTGTCACTATTAAACATAACAAGGCTTTTGTACAGACCCAGGGCTAGATTCAGCCCTGACATAAATGGGCACAACCCCACTGAAGTTAATGGGACTGAATTTTGCCCTTAACTGGCTCGGGAGGGGTTGGGTGTGTGTGTGTGACTAAACTGTATTAAGGAAGGAAGAGTAATGAAAAACAGACTGAATGTTCAAGAATAATTAACTAGAGCAGGGAACCCTTGATACAAGGGCCTGAAAGTCTGGCTGGGTAAAGTAGTGTCACCCTTCTGTCACCATCTAAAATGGCTCCATTGATTTCACACAGAGCAGAATCTGGGTAACGCTCAGGTAGTTCCTTCTCAAAGCACAACTTCACATCTAGGATGGGAGAAGGCATTAGTTTAAGTTGCAAACAGTCTGGACCAGCAGATTTTAAGAAAGATATTCTTGTATCAGTTTCCCTTGCTCTTTGGTATCCTTCTTGCCTTAAAAGGAATGTACAATCTACAACTCTGTTCATGAAAAAACCCATGGACCAAATCCTGCAGTCCATACTCAGGCAAAACTCCCATTGACTTTGTGCTGGAAGGGACTTTACTACTGAAAACCCCATTAAACCTGGAAGTAGTGCAAATCATGTCATTAATAGAAAGCAACTCCATGACAGTATCAGAAGTGGCTGCCTCCCACATGCAGGGAACTGAGATAAATGGGAAAGGAAGAAGTGAAGCTCCTCTTCAGTAAGGGAAAAGTTTGTTTTCCATCTCACGTCCCCCAAACACTGGAGGAACCCTAAAAACATGCTGTCCTGCCACAGCTGAGCTGAAAGAGGAGAGAGCGAGCACTAAGTGCGCGGACAATGTGTGTAAGGGTATGATCAGCTCAAAGAGGAAACAACCAAGGAAAAGCAGACAGGAAAAGAAAAATAAACTGTATCCTTCAGGAGGATAAGTAAAGAGGAAGCTCTGCTAAGAAAGTAGGCTTCAGGCCACAAATAGGGTAGCTTTAAGGGGCCTAGAAATGCAAAGGGTCATTTATACAATAGCTTTGAGGAAATCAACAAGTTGCCTTGGTGACACAGAAGCAGCAGGGAATAAAACACAAGCTAAAAGGAACAGAAATCATTGCCCCCTTCAGGACAATGGAGTTATTTCCCCATACATGCTCCAGTAATCTTTAATTTTTCTGATAATTAGCATAGCCAACATGGACAGTTTTGAACAGCTTTTTGTTGTTTCAGAGTTCATCAACAAAATTGAGTAACATCAAGTATACGTTTCTCATGTACATCATGAGAGACAAAGCAGAGGGCACACTGGATTCATCAGGCCTAACACCAGGTCAGAAGAACATGTATAAAATAGAAAAGAAACAGAGGTAAATTTCAATTGGAAACCTGAGCAATCCTCACAAAAATATCAAAAGGAAACTGGAGAATTTTTTTTTTCAAAGCATTAAGAGTCAGCGGCAAAGAAAAGGTAAAAGGGAATCGTGAACAAAGCAGAATACCTGAGCATCTCCAACTGGAGACTTTGGGGACAGGTAAACGCAAAAACCTACTTGATGGAAGACGTGCCAAGACCCCTGAAAAATTGTAATTGTCTGAAAAACTGAATACCATAGAAGGGACTTATGCAACTTTACACAGACCTTCAAAGCAATTAGAAGCGATACAGAGAACCAGAGACACACGTAAGATATTCAGCCTTGGTAAAATGGTTACCGAGCTAATGGTGTACGACCGTGGCAATGCTGAGAAAATCTCCATTCCCTTCCGCCCCCCGTCTCCACAACCTTAGTGATGACTGAAGCTGGAGTAATGGATTCAATATTATATTTAACATATCAGCAAGCATATTTCAGAACTCCAGATCACACTCATTGGCTAGTGTTAATGTGAAAGCCTCAGAGAACATAGAACCTGAGGCAGATGAAAGCACAGTCAGCACATCGGCAGAATACAGATTGGACACTTCTGGTAGAGATTTCTGGTAACATACTATGCTTATATAAGAACTTACAAGCTCACTGGAGAGCTTTCATATTGTTGTTACTACAGTCAAGAAGAATGAACTTCCTTTCCAAACACCAATGCATTAGATGGACTCTAGGGCAAAGATGTACGAGAGCTTATGCACTGACAACAAATAACCTTATGGCTGAATTGATGCAGAAGTGGGTTTGTCTCCAGCCAAAAACCAATAGTAAGATTTCAATATCAACAAACATGTATCTAATTACTGTTGGAAGAGTTGCTTTGAATTAGGTACTCAGTTCTAATCACTGGGTATAACCACAAGCTAATTAAATAGTGTGTGTATGGATTTAACATCTTGGTTGTAAATTAACTTGAGACCCTGAAGTACTACTTTTCAGTTTTACACAGACATGCTAAGAGATTTGAGATGTTTGATTCGTTTAACAAAAAATACTAGCAGTATCAATCAAACAGTCAAGTGGATGCTACTGAAGAGATGGTGGATAGACAGTCCTCTCTCACTTATTACACTGAGTGAAGGTAATACAGCTAACAGTTGATTACAAAAAAGCATCTCATTCATTTGTGAATTAGATCAGTTCTTTGAATTATCTTAAGGGTTCTAAAACAACTTAATAAAGAACCTTCTAATGGAATACTTACAATTAGCACACACATATAAGAATGGATAAATATTTATTGGTATATATACCATAAGACCTTACTATAGCTATAAGCTAGAGTTATGCATAAAGATGGATTACAATTTTGCTTCCATTTGGTGAGTTTTTTATATTGTGTATGTCTTTAGTCTTCAAATTACATGTTAGCTGTAGTAAAGATGTGAACACATTGTTAAACTACAGCAAAGAATAACAATACTAAGCTACATCAAATGATTAAAAACAATCCAATGGAGAGTGTACTGTTGTGCAATACAAACTCATGGTGAAGTTTCAACCAAGGACCCATGTCTAAGATTTGGTCTGTCTGCCCAGGGATGTATGAATTCTGTAGAAGGCATATGGAAGAGCTACTAGATTGATCAAAAGTATTGAAAGATCTGAAATAAGTGGCTAAGTTGAAGAGCTTGAATTTATACAAACTTGAGAAAAAAAAAAAAAAAAAGCTATGTAGGGGAGGATCTTCTTAGAGCATTTACGTACTTAACACATGGACATTCCTGAAAATTATACATTTAAAACCAACTATACTCAGGAAATAGGGAACTGGTGAGGAGATAGAGGGAGGCTGTACAACACATCACTGGAAGGTCATATGCTGAGTGCTCAAAGTTAGCAATGAGCCATAAAGGCTTCTGAAAATTCTGCTATAAAGTCATTGCTATTCAGACATGAATAAATTAATCTCCTTAGTTACTCTCAGGAAATTCTCCCTCCTTCACCCAAGAGGTTAGTCAATCACTCTTTAGATTGGTCTGTCCCAGAAGGTAATTCCAGAATCCACCTGTAGCAGGGTGCTGGTGCAAAAGCACCTAATTAACCCCTGCCCAGTCAGCTCCAATCAGGGGAAACAGATTGGGGCTGATGGAAAAGGCCTGATGCAGACCTGAGGATTGGCAACACCTGCTGGCCTGACAAGCCAAGCGCTATAAAGGCTGGGAGGCAGCCAGAAAGCAGGGGGCAGCCAGGGAGAAGTCAGTCAGGGAGGGAACTGGAGGCCTCCTAGCTGAAGGCTGCCTCTATCTGTAAAGGAGGTGACTAATCCTGCAAGACTTGTGTATAGATAGACACTGGTGGTGGGAGAACCTTATCTAAATAAAGACATGGGTGTTTCACAACCCTGAAGCCTCTCTGAGCCTTATTGGGGGCAGCAAGCAGGCCCCAGGAAGAGGGGCAGGACATGGAACCCTGTTACACCACCTTACTTGGATTCAAGGGGAAAAAAGTGCTCAAAGTTACAGTACTTTTGATACCTATAGTATTTTATGCTATATATGGATTACAAGGTGATTCTCACTCACATGCACATAACTAAACTAACTGCCAAGTTTGGTGTCAGGAAGGAATTGTTGTTCTATTCCCCACTCCCCGTGCAAAAAGAAAAAGCATATTAAAATTAATGGGGATGGAGAATCACTTTCCTCTGGAGCACTGAGAACAGGGATGTTAGAATAAGTTGTGCGTAGCTCACATGATCAATTTTCTTTGATTGTACAATTGGGAAGGATGGTGAAGTGAAGTGTTGGTGCACTTCTTTCCTTTCCAAATGTTTCTTTAGTAAATTAACAATGCTTTAAGGGACCAATCCAGCTTTTGTGAAAGTCAGTTGAAAGACTCTCGTTAACTTCAGTGGAAGTTGGCTTGGCCCCTTAGTGGCCTACCTTCTGAAGATGATGCTACAGTAGGAGTGGAACATCTTTTCTACATTTGCCAGCTTCCCATTAAAGGAAAGAATTCAAAATTCTGCTGAAATAAAAGAAACTAAAAAGAATACTTGGACGTAAGAATATCCATATAATTGGTTGTAAACTTTGAGTGTAAATCCCAAGAGAATTTATCAAGCCAACTAAATATGCATACTGAATATCCTGAAAAGAAGTTTAATACAATACACCCTTCCCTCATGCTTCAAAACAAGGCCTCTGTTTCTGCTAAAACACGTGAATTCCCGTGCTTCCAAGAACCAGGACCAAACAGTGCTATAACTGGAAAAGTTCAGGAATTTACACTAAACAATGTGCAAAGCAGCTAAACAGAAATCTCGAAATTCCCATCCCCAACACAGTGGGGATCCAAATCTTTTTAGCTGATGGGTCAGTTGCACATTATTTTATGCACAAAGCAAAAGGAAGCATCTCTTCTGTTTACCACAATGCGCAGTTGACAGATATAAACAGTTTTAATAAATTGCAGATTTTAAAAAATAATCTCTGGTAAAAATTCTTATCTTTCTGCTCATGTCCAAAACATTCTTATAAAAAGTTCTACCCATGTCCCCCTTCCCTCCCACAAGTTAATATTATTAAAATCAACAGCAGAACATGAAGGCAAAGTCCTTTGTATTTCTGTCTTTTCTAAAGCTAGGGATGCTGACATTCACAAAGGCACCTAAAGTATCTTTATTAAACAAATGTATGCCTTCTAGAAACAGGTGGGTTTGAGCTTTAACATTTCCTTCCACTTGCTAAACCATCTGGGGAGCTTTGTATTTCCTAGGTATTCATGTTTAGTACATGATTGTAGGTGTGGTCTATGTCTTTTCTGCTTTTTGGTTGTAAATACAGTGAGACATGGACAGGGTGATTCTCAAAGAAAGCCTTGCTATCTTAGCAATGTAAGGTGTGGAAGTAGTTACAAAAGGCACTTGTGATAAACCCGTCTCAGTGAAGGTCAGCCAGAGCTATTACACAAGTAACCTCTGTACTATGCTGCTGGTTCCAGTAATTTGTTTGAAATCTGATATGTGATTTAAAGATTGCCTCTAAACCCAATTTCAAGCCTTGATGGTTCAACTCATCTGTAAAAAGATTCAGAAGGCTTTCAGTTCCCTCCATCCCTCACTTAATCTCCTCCCTGTGTTTTTCACTCTGACACCTGCAAAGGTTTCCTGTGTGATGGTGGCACCAGGTGAGGTGGTAGGATGCTGGGCAGTTCATACCCATCCAGTTTAATCTTGATGAGATGTTTTGCCAGTGCAAACTCCTCCTCGTCCAACATGCCGTCATTATCACAATCTGCAAGTTTCCAGATTTTCCCCAGGACGCTGTTCGGCAGTTTGGAGTTCACCATTTCCTTCTTTGCATTGACCCCAGAGATTTTGCCATTGATTGGTGACAGAGTATAGAAGATCTCATCATATACAGGTTTATCTTTGGCAATAACCCACTCCTCCTCATCAGCTCCTTCCCTGGCACCTTCCCCATATCCCTGGTCAAAGGGTCCGGTCGTGGTGCCATCAAAGGCTCCACCATGCACCATCGGTGTAGGCATGTTGCTTTCTTCCTGGCTCATCAGGCTCATCAGAGAGGCGATTTTATTGGCCAACATGTTATCCACAGCTTCAATCAGCTTTGGTTTCAGAGAATGAAATTTAGAGAAGTCATAGTTCTCCAGCTGTTCCTGTCAATAACAAAACACACATACCAATGATTAAACAAAACATTTGCCAAAAGTTTCATTTTTTTTTTTTTTTAAGAGCAAATTCTGTTGAAGGAACTCCTTCAAATGAGATTTCTGTCTGCAGAGGTCTCATTTGAAACAATTCCCAGTGCAGAAACTCAAAACTAAACCCACTTGAAAAAGAAACAAAAGTTTGCGTTTTATATGTATACCCTCATACACTGATCAGCCTTAAATTCGAAAGTCTAAGCATAATTTTCCAATGAGTCAGTTATTATATCCTTCCCTAATAAAATACATTTACATTTTTCTCAAGAAACAAATATTTTACAGAAAACTGTCAGTTTATATATATGTTAACTGACAAAGTTTTCCATTTAATAGTATTCTTTGTAAGAAAATATTTAGATATGAATATCAATAAGGAATTACATCACAGGAAGAGCGTGAGGTTCACCAGTAAGGCCCCAACCTTGCAAACACTTACGAATCCACTGAAAGTTAAAAACACGAGTCAAAATATTTGCAGCATCAAGACTCAATTTTGTAACAAACCCTTTTTGTCAGTGGCCTATGGGAATGAAGGGGAAGCATAACTTGGGAGTACAAATTCACTGTGCATAACAAATTTTATTTAGCCCCATGTCTCTCAAGAGTAACAAAGATGTTCTGTAGCACTTTTTCCAGTTATAAGGGGAACCTCCCTCTAGCTAGAGTTAATTCCCCCCCGACCCAACTTCTACAACTCAAATAACTGATTTCATTTACAATTTCACAATCTTTTTTTAATCAGGCAAGTTAAGGACTAAATGTCATACTTAAGTTCACTGAACTTCCCTGTTTTTTGTCATACCTTTAATGTTAAAACAGGTTTTAGGTAATGTACTATATACTTATTGGACACTACCATGTACAATAAAGCAAACTCCTTATTCCCATGCCAGCAATACTAATGTTTTAATACGGTCCTACCTGGACCTTCCTACTCAGCTATAACTCCCACTGATTTCACTGGGAGTCCTGCCCAAGTAAGGTGTGCGAGATCAGGCCCTTGTTGATGTACTTTTACGGCGGAGATAAAGCTATTAAAATATTTCAGGCTGCTATGAAATGTTGCTATCTAATTAGCTGTCATTTCAAATGCTTCGCACAAACACCCAAGTGAAAATGAAAATGGCAAAGAGCAAAGATTCCTGAGGGCATGTGGCAACAAGGCCAGCCAGGAACAGCTTGTCCTCACTGATGAGATAACTGGCGCTGTGGATGAGAGGAAAGCAGTGGACGTGTTATTCCTTGACTTTAGAAAAGCTTTTGATACAGTCTCCCACAGTATTCTTGCCAGCAAGCTAAAGAAGCTGGATGAATGGACTGTAAGGTGGATAGAAAGCTGGCTAGATTGTCGGGCTCAAAGGGTAGCGATCAATGGCTCCATGTCTAGTTGGCAGCCGTAATCAAGCGGAGTGTCCCAAGGGTTGGTCCTGGGGCCGGTTTTGTTCAATATCTTCATTAATGATCTGGAGGATGGCGTGGACTGCACCCTCAGCAAGTCTGCAGATGACACTAAACTGAGAGGAGTGGTAGATATGCTGGAGGGTAGGGACAGGATACAGAGGGACCTAGACAAATTAGAGGATTGGGCTAAAAGAAATCTGATGAGGTTCAACAAGGACAAGTGCAGACTCCTGCACTTAGGAAGGAAGAATCCCATGCACTGCTACAGACTAGGGACTGAGTGACTAGGCAGCAGTTCTGCAGAAAAGGACCTAGGAGTTACGGTGGACAAGAATCTGGATATGAGTCAACAGTGTGCCCTTGTTGCCAAGAAGGCTAATGGCATTTTGGGCTGTATAAGTAGGAGCATTGTCAGCAGATCGAGGGACATGATCATTCCCCTCTATTCGACGTTGGTGAAGCCTCATCTGGAGTACTTTGTCCAGTTTTGGGCCCCACACTACAAGAAGGATGTGGAAAAACTGGAAAGAGTCCAGCGGAGAGCAACAAAAATCATTAGGGGTCTGGAACACATGACTTATGAGGAGAGGCTGAGGGAACTGAGATTGTTTAGTCTGCAGAAGAGAAGGATGAGGGGGGATTTGATAGCTGCTTTCAACTACCTGAAAGGGGGTTCCAAAGAGGATGGATCTAGACTGTTCTCAGTGGTAGCAGATGACAGAACAAGGAGTAATGGTCTCAAGTTGCAGTGGGGGAGGTTTAGGTTGGATATTAGGAAAAACTTTTTCACTAAGAGGGTGGTGAAGCACTGGAATGGGTTACCTAGGGAGGTGGTGGAATCTCCTTCCTTAGGAGGTTTTTAAGGTCAGGCTTGACAAAGCCCTGGCTGGGATGATTTAGTTGGGATTAGGTCCTGCTTTGAGCAGGGGGTTGGACTAGATGACCTCCTGATGTCCCTACCAACCCTGATATTCTATGAGTCTATGATCTAGTGACAAGTGTCACGTCAAAGTCTCAGTTCCCTAAAAGGAATAGCCCATGGGTATTACTGGTAGTGAAGGTGACATCTAGTTTGCCAACCTCTGGTTTTTAGCAGGGCAAGATAGGAAGACTCAGCAGAGAAATATAAGGAAATACACATAGGCAACTTTTATGATCCCAACTGTCTAACCTATATATAATAAAGGTTATATTTAGCTCCAGAAATGGTTACATTATATTTTTATTTCTACAGCTATTTCAACAATAGACTTGGTCTTGTTCATCAGAACAGAGAAAGTGGTCAAGATTTTATGTAAGGATAATTGTCACTAACACAACAAGGCAGTACCATGCACTCACACATTATGATTGCATTTGTTCTGTCACAATAAGCATATCCAACAAGTGATAGCATTTAGGAGCAGAGTTTCTTGCACAGTAAAGCTGAATTTAAAATGTCAACTTAGTAATCAAATTTTGCTAATAAACACAATACATGAATAAGAGAAATCCTACATAAAATGTGTTAGTACTTTGAGTAATGGCAGCGTAGATACCCCACTCCTGGATGTGCATATGTTCTATGCCAGGGGTGGGCAAACTTTTTGGCCTGAGGGCCACATCTGGATGGGGAAATTGCATGCAGGGCCATGAATGTAGGGCTGGGGCAGGGGGGTTGGAGTATGGGAGGGAGTGCGGTGTGCAGGAAGGGGCTGAGGGCAAGGGGTTGGGGCAGAGGAGGGGTGCAGGGTGTACGAGGGGGCTCAGGGAAGGGGGTTCAGGTGCAGGAGGGGTTCAAGGTGCAGCAGGGGGCTCAGTGCAGTGGGTTGGGGTGCAGGAGGAGTGCGACAGTGGGCTCAAGACAGGGGGTTAGGGGGCTTAGGGCAGAGGGTTGGGGTGTGGGGTGCAGGAGGGATTTGGGGTGCGGGCTCCGGCCCAGCGTCGCTTACCTGGAGTGGCTCCGGGGTGGCAGCGGCGCGCACCGGGCCCAGGTCAGGCTCCCTGCCTGCCTTCCCTGTCCCCGGCCCACTCTGCTCCGGGAAGCGGCCAGCACCACGTCCCTGCAGCTGAACATGCTGCCCTTGCCTGTGGGTACTTCCCCCGAAGCTCCCATTGGCTGCGGTTTCCCGTTCCTGGCCAATGGGAGCTTCGGGGGAGGTACCCACAGGCAAGAGCAGCGCGCGGAGCCCTTCCCCACCAGGGGCTGCAGGGATGTGGTGCTGGCCGCTTCCCGGAGCGGAGCGGGGCCCGCGGCGCCACGTGGTGGCAATCCCGCGGGCCGGATCCAAAGCCCTGAGGGGCCAGATCCGGCCTGCAGGCCATAGTTTGTCCACCCCTGTTCTATGCACTGCAATCAGAACCTTCTAAAAAGCTGTAAGTAGCCTAAGTCATGGTACTGAAAGTTCAGATCCAAGGTACTATAACCAGCTGTAGCCCTTAATAACTTTATTTCCTTCAAGTTGCTGAAGTAATGGGGTCAGAAATCTGTGCCTCCTGTTTGTCATGGTATCAGCTGAAGCTATTCATGTAGTTTCTCATAAATATTCATGCAAACAGATTTGTTATCTATTATTGTTAATTTAAAAATAGTGATTAACAGTTTAGATTTAGGTCCATGTCTTTACAGTCTCTTAGGCCTGGTCTACACTAGGCGTTTATGTCGAATTTAGCGCCGTTACATCAAATAAACCCTGCACCCGTCTACACCACGATGCTATTTAGTTCGATATAGAGGTCTCTTAAATTCGACTTCTGTACTCCTCCCCAACGAGGGGAGTAGCGCTATATTCGACATGGCCATATCGAATTAGGCTAGGTGCGGATGGAAATCGACGCTAATAGCTCCGGGAGCTATCCCACAGTGCACCACTCTGTTGACGCTCTGGACAGCAGTCCGAGCTCGGATGCTGTGACCAGCCACATAGGAAAAGCCCCGGGAAAATTTGAATTCCTTTTCCTGTCTGGGCAGTTTGAATCTCATTTCCTGTTTGGACATCGTGGCGAGCTCAGCAGCACTGGCAACGATGCAGAGCTCTCCAGCAGAGATGGCCGTGCAATCTCAGACTAGAAAGAGGGCCCCAGCATGGACTGATCGGGAAGTCTTGGATCTCATCGCTGTGTGGGGTGATGAGTCCGTGCTTTCCGAGCTGCGCTCCAAAAGATGGAATGCAAAGATCTACGAGAAGATCTCTAAAGCCATGGCAGAGAGAGGATACAGCCAGGATGCAACGCAGTGCTGCGTGAAAATCAAGGAGCTGAGACAAGGCTACCAGAAGACCAAAGAGGCAAACGGATGCTCCGGAGCCCAGCCCCAGACATCCCGTTTCTACGAGGCACTGCATTCCATCCTAGGTGCGGCCGCCACCACTACCCCACCAGTGACCGTGGCCTCTGAGGATGGGATATTGTCCACGGCTGGTTCCTCGGACATGTTAGCGGATGGGGAAGATGAGGAAGGAGATGAGGAGGACGAGGCAGTCGACAGCGCTTGCAACGCTGATTTCCCCGACAGCCAGGATCTCTTCATCACCCTCACAGAGATTCCCTACCAACCGTCCCCAGCTGTT